CAAACTGACATTGTACTGTATAATATATGAGGATACCATTTTTAGCTGGCAATTAATGGCTCCCTGACAAGAGGAAAGATAACCATGTGAATATTTATTCACATATAAAAATATTCATTACTATTTAGTTGAACAACTACATGGTGAGAATGTTTTCACATATTTGTTATTTATACTTAACATACTCCCAAAGCTCCTCAGAAAACTTCAAAGTATTTTGCTCCTTTTATTCAGATGGGAAAATAAAGGCTCCCAAATTAAGTGCCTTTTCTTTAAAGACATGGGTAAATCTGTTGGAGTTAGAATATCTTTTTTTAAAAAATTAGCACTCCTCATGTGCTAAAAGAACTGCGTGCTAGTTAGAATCCTGGCAGATCACTAAACTTATTTAACAGGTATTCTACAGCTTGAGGGTCCCACAGGAAAAATCTCACTTGCATCTGATTGGGAATATCTGCTCAGTGGTGTATATCTGAATGAAACAGATTCTGCAGATTTCTAAAGCCCATGGACTAGTCTTTTGGACTAAGAGTTATAGACAACAGACTTACCTTCTGTAAGATACAGAAACCTATCTCTAAAGCAATCTTGAGAAGCAAGCAGTGCCCAAAGTGTTGACATCTAGGTGAAAAACTCCTATGAATTGGGAAGGAAACTTCTTCTCTAAGTTAATGACTTTGAAATGTTTCTCTAAATTAGGTGGAAATAATTGCCTTCAACCCTCAAAAAAACCTCAATTCTTTCTTAATAAGCTAAGGTTTCTCAATTGTGAAATATAGTTTTCAAAAACTCACCTTTACACTTGCCTTCTGTAAACTGATTCTTGATTGAAAAAGACTAAGTTTAGATCTATAATAAAACAAAATACAATATGTTTAATAAGTTATCAAATTACATCATATTAAATTTATTAAGTATAATTCCAAATTTTGGAATTTGGAACAGTGACACTGTTCCACAATGCTATTCCAAAAGAGAACTAAAAAATGGAAAACCAAGAGCAATGATTTTTTTCCTTTATTTTACTATAGGAAGAATATTGCAGTGCAACAGGAAATACTGGGATATTTAATACAAAATATTCTGAATGACAAAAATACAATTTGACAAATATATTGGTATCTCCTAATAAACAAGAGCCACCAAACTATAAGTTACTCTCAGTATCATATAATTATACACACTTTAGTTCCTACAAGAAAGCTTAAAGAAACCTAGGGATAACCAATCTATGGAGCCAAAAATTAGCAGGCTTTTAGGGCCATCTGCAATAGGACATAACAACATCTGCAATTCAACCTACAGTATGATATTAGGCTCTTGAAAGCCCTTAATTCCATTATTTCTCCCATTAAAAGTTCTTCCTGTTTGGGTCCCTGTGTGTTCCCTCCAATTTTAACATACTACCTGAAACATAGCAAGAAAGTCCTTGGACTCTCTGCCCTATATGATTTTGTTCTGTTTAATCTTTTCCCATTCTGGTGCCCTTATTTCCTCCAATCCCTTTCAGTTTGGGAAGGAAACCATAATCTAACAATCAAGAGTTAAAATATGCTGGTTTTACCCAAACAGCTAGAGATAACCAGAAGGAGAAAGTCAACAGACAAACAGTAAGGAATAACAACACTCTCACAACCAGTGATTTTTGAAGCTGCAATATTTGTCTTGACTGCAGTGTCATGGTGATTACCATGGGAGAATTCAGTTCATGTGCTGGAAGTTATGCCATAATACAAAGTAAAGCTGCAGACCACCTGGGAATGTAGGGTGGAGCAAACAAGTCTCTGCACAGCAAATTCAAGGAGGATAGCAAAAACAGCCTATCACCTTTCTAACAAAAGAGAAACAATCAGGGACATACACTAATGCATCCTAACTACTTCCCCACTGTTAAAAAAAAATGGGTTCAATATACTCCTGTTATTTTCTACCTTGCCATATTCATATTTCCTGGGGGTTTTGTCTGTTTTTATTAATCAGATTCCTATTCATTTTGATCTAGAAAAGGCTACAAATTTTTAAATTTGAGAAAGCCTGTTCAAGATTAACAAAGACTGCTTGGGGTATTTTTAATTCTCTCTCTCTCTCTCTCTCTCTCTCTCTCTCTCTCTTTTTTGTAGTCATTATCCAAATAGTCTGAATTGCACCTGAATTTTCAGATATAAGGTTTTAAGTTCCTGGTTTCTGTTTCATTTGCTAATCCTCATAGAATTCTTGTGTAGTATTTAAGAAGGTATTAGTAACAGATAAAAATAATACAGTTCCTATGCTCTTAGTAATAAATACAGTTCCTATGTAGATCATAATCTACAACAAATGAGGTATATACAGATAGTGAATTGTACTGCACACTCCTCCTCCTCACCTACTTCCAAATGTTAACGCTCCTTGGATCCCAAACTTAATTTCTCATCTTATATATGATTTCATCTCTATAACCATCCTCTGATAGGTAACCAACCCCCAAAGTAAGATCTTTACGCCCAGATTCTCATCTGAGAGTTAGACATAAGGTTCCTTACTAAAACAAAAAACAAAACAAAAGAAAGGACTCCTTACTAAATTTATTCACCTCAATGTCCCACAGGCTCTTCAGAACCTGAATATCCAAAATGGAACCCATTCTTCCTTTTAAAAAGTATCCCTCTTCCTTTTTACACTCTCTCTTCAATGTGCACATTTCACCGTCTATTAAATCATCTAAAACTACACGTGGTCCAGTCTTCACTTCCCCTTCCTGATCTTTTTTCTCACTTCTTCTTCAAGACTGTCCAAATACCACTTCTTCTATAAAGGTTTCCTTTCTCATTAGGCAAAATTAATCTTTCCTATGCTTACAAAACAGTGTTTGTGAAATAGTGAAAGCAGTGTTTTCTTACAACTATAGTAAACATATTAATTACTACTTGAATGACTTTAGGCACTTAATTTCTTTGAGTTTACTGTGAATAAACAAATCATAAAGTTACTTTTAAACACACTTGTACTTAATTCTAGGCTTTAAATTTCTTAAGGATGCAAAGATTATCTTACTCATCTCTGTACCCATGGTACCCAATATAATTATTCAATAAATATTTAGAGAGTGAATGAAGATAAAGAGCATTTTACTCTGTAATTGAATGAATTTTCCAGAAAAGTTACACATTGAAATAAACTGTCTAATTTGCTGTAACCCCTTTGAATTTGGGTCATACTAGAAGGCAGTGTTTTGCAATCAGCATCTGTGAAGTAGACCCTGTCAAATCCACACTTCTTAGGAACAGCCTGCAATTGTCCTCATTCTCACTGTGGGCCTTGGCTAAAGTAGGTATTTATATATGTTCTACAGATCTGTCAACTCCCTGTTCTAGAATCCCTGAGAGTTTTAAAAAACAAATTCCTAAAAACCACCATGACAGGAAATTCCTATTGGAGATCATCTAATCTAAAATCTTCAGGTCTTACTGGAAAGATGGGTTCACTGACTCTATGAAAGTATGGGAAATATTTGTATGCTCACAAAAATAAAATAATAAAGACAATAAACTAAATTAGGGGAATATTAAATATGTTTTCCAGTAATGTTAAGTACTTTAGAAGTATTCATTTACTATACTATATAAATGTATATACTAGATGTACATCTAGTCCTTGGTACTAAATAAACTTTTGAGGAAACCCTAAATTTTCACAAGATGCTTATGAGATTGCTTAACTTCCTGTAGATAAAAACATATTAAAAAGAACACCCCCTCGCCCCCAACTGGCTGCTAGCCTGTTCAAGTGTTCATAACCTCTCTGATTTCATGACTAGGAGTTTTACAGAGTCCGAGATTGCATTAAATGGGAATCTCAGCTTTCCTAACAGACCTCTTTCAAGTCCCATTCTATGACACAGGTTTATTTTTTCTCAAAACCTTGTTTCCTTTCCTTGTCATAGCTAAAAATCTGTATTTCTCACTTAAAATATCTTTTTATTACCAATTGCCAGTTCTTTCCTTTTCTAATTATTCTTGAAATAGAGGACTTATGATTCACGTATATTAAAAGTAAAATTCACGCAGTTGCTAAAGCATACATTAAAAAAGTATATATATTAGAATTTCACATAAGAGATAAATTGTGCCAGGGGCAGGATTTCTATACTGAGGTCAGTGCTCTTATTTATTTGATGTCCAAGGTGCCTTCAATGGCATACTGAGGATCAGGGATTTCCAACAACAATGGATTTAGAGTCTAGCATGAAAAAAAATGAGGCTTTTAAACCCTGATATTCAGACACCAGAGCAACTTCAACCAGCTTTTGCTAAGCTTTCAATACAATGTTCATTTGGCCTTTTTCCTTTTCAAAATTCAATTTAATGTAAAAACTGATCAAACATTCTCATTTTGCTATATTTAAATGAGATCAGCCAATATAAAAGAAAAATTTATAGGTCTGATGAAACCAACATAACCTAAGAATGAGTCCATGCCCTATATTAACAGAAAACAAAGTATTGGCAAAAATAACATTTATTTGCATAATTACTTTTTTCAGAAATGCTAAAACACATACTTTGCCTCGATGTCAGCTTTCTCTCGTACTGCATGAGCCATCTGTTCAGTCTCAAAGTACTTCTTTTTGCCTTTAGCTAAATCTTTCACTGTCTCCTGTAATTCAGTTTGGATCTTTGTCAACTGGTCCACACACTGTAAAATACAAAGTGGAATTATTATGATATTAGTTTTCAGGCTTACTGATAATGAATTTGTCCTAAGGGCTATGCACTATGCCCTCAGGATGGAAACCCAGGAGAAAAATCAGCACTTTTAGTCTCCTTCAAACTGCAAATTAAAATCCAGTGAACAGCTGGTACTCCCATCTCAAGTAATGTATTGAATAGTGTCCCAGTTTGCTTAACAACTCTGCTTTGAGAAATAACCTCAGTGCTGTTGAAGAATGACATTGAGGTAAAGCATAAGGAGAGCAACAATGAAAATGCTTTTATTGTTGGATATATCATGGCACTAAAGGCAAAGGAATAAAGCAATTCTGTATTTCTTCATAATCTTTGGGCAGAGGCCACGCTAATCTTCTCTGTAATATTCCAGTTTTAGTATATGTGCTGCCAAAGTGAGCACTCTTCAAAATCTTAATAAAGTCTCTATATGTTTGGGAAATGATGGTGCAAAGGGTACCAAAGAATTCTGCTTTGGGAAAAGAGTGTAATCTGTCAAGTCTGACATAAGTCCAAGATGAAGAAAAGAAGAAACCCAGGTACCATGTAATAATTACTACTCAAAATTACTGCCAACTCAATTCTTTGGATATACATACACATTCTGGGAGAAGGGACAGATACAATTAATTCAAAGAAATTGTTTTTTAAGATTTTATTTATTTATTCATGACAGACACACACAGAGAGAGAGGGAGAGGCAGAGACACAGGCTGAGGGAGAAGCAGGCTCCATGCAAACAGCCTGATGTGGGACTCAATTCCGGGACTCCAGGATCACGTCCTGGGCTGAAGGCAGGCGCAAAACTGCTAAGCCACCCAGGGATCCCCAAAAGAAATGTTTAATTGATAAATTCTTATAACATACTGGGACCAAAATAACATTGCTTTGGATATCCAAAGGGGAAACACTTTTCCCAGTCTGAAATAAACCAATGCAGTTTCACCAGCCTGAGGCCAATTCAGGAAGTCTCCACTGAAAAACTTCTGAGCCTGTAACAGTATTTGGAGGAGACTGACAAAATCAGCAAAGCAAGAGGAGATATTGGTGAGGAACTATTGTGGTAGGCTGATTAGCATGGAGTAGAGCGAAGACATTGGAATAGGAAGGTTAAAGTGAAATTAAACTTATATGTGTGACATACAGGCTAGAGTTTCCCAGAAATTGTTGGATGTTAAGAAAAGGACTACTCTATAGGAAGTGAAAAACCTAGAGGGCTCCCTATGAGCATATTTATTTATTTATTTATTTATTATTTTTTTTAAACAGTTCTTTTTTTTTTAATTTTTTTTTATTTATTTATGATAGTCACAAACAGAGAGAGAGAGAGAGAGAGAGGCAGAGACATAGGCAGAGGGAGAAGCAGGCTCCATGTACCGGGAGCCCGACGTGGGATTCGATCCCGGGTCTCCAGGATCGCGCCCTGGGCCAAAGGCAGGCGCCAAACCGCTGCGCCACCCAGGGATCCCCTTATGAGCATATTTAATGAACACTTAACAAGTGACAGGCTGTAAATAAAGAGTTAAAAAAAAAAACCCTTCACTTCTTTCTCTTCTGCGTGAAAAATGGACCCTTGCTTAACTTTCTACATGTATATTTCAACAGAAATCTGATGAAGACACAACATCAACTGTGTTATTTGGCAATACTGCTTATGAACCTTGATAGGTAAAATGCATCAATCTGGAAGAAAGTACAAATGAACTATAAATGTCCTGATGACTTTGGGCTTCTGAGAGTATGGTAATTCCTTTTTTCTTTCTTTCTTTCTTTTTTTTTTTTTTTACCAGTATGGTAATTCCTGTATCAGGACATGTCCTTTGCAGAGACCTTGGAAGCTCTGTTGTAATAAATAAAGTTTAATAAAAGCTTTTAGTTTCCTTTAGGGCCTGTGGCTACCCCTGGACATGTGAGTCTCATTCTTTTGCCCCAGACCTTTCACCTGAAGAACCAAACAGAATAACTGTGGTTGGCCATGTAGACTGAGGTATACACTGGTGGGAGGACTAATTCTACTAGTGCTGGATGCTGCCCTGCTTGTTAACTATGTTCCCTGTTCTAATGTCCCTCTACATAAACCTCATGCCAGGCATGGGATAATCATGACAGTCTCAATGTTTTGTTACACTTAAGAAAACTCCCTATGAGTACACACAGGCAGAATGCACTAAGTTTAGTACTTTATAAATATTATCACATTTACTCCTCCAAATGACTCCAGTAAAAGTATTCATATTAGTCCCATTTTAAGATGAGAAAATACAAGGAGCCTGAATGGCTCAGTTGGTTGAATGTCTGACTCTTGATTTTGGCTTGAGTTGTGATCTTGGGGTCATGAGATCGAGGCTTACATCAGGATCCACGCTCAGTGCAGGGTCTGCTTGGAATTCTTTCTCTCCCTCTGTACCTCCCCCCAGCTTGTGCACGCACATGCTCTCTTTCTCTCAAATAAATAACATCTTAAAAAAAAAAAGATGAGGAAATACTTACAGAGGCTAAATAATTTATCCAAAGTCATGCAGTGAGAAAGGGATGTATCACTTACCATGTAACCCACTATAGTACATATGCAAGTTTTGTGACAATCAGGTTTTTCAAATCTCATGTAGAGATACTTTATCTTAAAATAGTAAACATTTTAAAAATTGACACATAATTCACGTATCATAAAATTCACCCTTTTAAAGTGTAAGATTCAGTGGTTTTAGTATATTTATAAGGTTGTACAACCATTATCACTATCTAGTTCCAGAACATTTTCATCACTTGAAAAAGAAAACCATACCAGTTAGCAGTCACTCCTTGTTTCCTTCATTCCTAGTCCCTGAAAACCACTAATCTACTTCCTACCTCTATGAATTTTCTGCATTTCATATCAATGGAATCATATAACATGTGGCTTTATATGTCCCAAGTCTTTCACTTAACATAATGTATTCAGGGTTCGTCTATGTTGTATCATGTATTAACTCTTCATTCCTTTTTGTGGCTGAATAAGATTTCATTGTATAGATATATGAAAATAGGAAGCTTTTATCTTGTAGAAAAATATTCCTTTCTCTTTAATTTTTAATAGTCCTTATCATAAACAAACCTCTTATTTAAATAATAATATCATGAGGGGTGCCTGGTTGGCTCAGTCAGTAGAGCATGTGGCTCTTGATCTCGGGGGCATGAGTTTGGGTCCCACACTGGGCAAAGACATAACTTAAAAAAAGGGGGGCGGGAATCCCTGGGTGGCTCAGCAGTTTAGTGCCTGCCTTAGGCCAGGGCATGATCCTGGAGTCCTAGGGTCAAGTCCCACATCGGGCTCCCTGCATGGGGCCTGCTTCTCCCTCTGCCTGTCTCTGCCTCTCTCTCTGTGTCTTTCATGAATAAATAAAATCTTTAATAAAATAATAATAACACGACAACTTTACACTCCTACAGAAAACTACTAAACATCTCAATAATGCCACGTTTGCAGGTGTGGAGAGCTAAGAAAGTGTTCCGTGGCTTCAATTAGATATTAAGAACCAAAAACTGTGGCATGGTCTGAAAAATGCAACTATGTTTAATGGGAAAATGAGATGGATTATTTGTTTTGTTTAAATCAATTTTATTGAAATTCAATTAATTAATATATACTGTATTACTAGCTTCAGAGATGGATTATTTAAAAGAGTCAGGTGTAAAGTATCTATAACCAAAATGTTCATCCAAAACAATAGATTTTGCCCTCAGAAAAACTGATCAATGAAGGGGATGCCCAAGAGCCTCTAATAATTTGAGTGTTTTGAGAGGAAACTAAAAAGACTAGGTCAGGGCTTTTCCTGGTGATTGCAAATCATGTGGCTAGGATCTCAGTATATTCACGCAAGGTGAACACCATGGGTACATGAGAATATATGGGCACATGCATGCACAGACTCACACAAAGCCACTCCTTATTTCCCTACCCTTTGAAGAGTAAGATGTCTCTCTTAGCACTGGGTAACTAAACATCTTATTAAAATTACTTAATTCATTTTCATTTACAAAAGGCTATTAATTAAATTGCTTTTTGCATGTGTGACAATGTCAAGGGAGATCTTGTGATAGTTCATAGCTTTAAAAGGATTTCTCAAAAAACTCAAAACTCAGGGTGACTCTTCTTGTTTTTTCTTTCCCTTTTTATAAGTTTCTTTCTTTTTTTTTTTGGTATAACAGATATTTAATGGAATGTGGTTCCAGTTGGAGACTTTAAATTAGTGTATAAAGCAAAAAAAATGATAACGCTTTAAAATAAAATTATTCTGTATTAAAATGAGAAATAAATTATATGGCAGCAATTATTAAAATGATAATTTGTATTAAAATGTCTCATTTTTATTTTTATTTATTTTTCTTTTTTTAATAATAAATTTATTTTTTATTGGTGTTCAATTTGCCAACATACAGAATAACACCCCACAGTGCTCATCCCGTCAAGTGCCCCCCTCAGTGCCCGTCACCCATTCACCCCCACCCCCCGCCCTCCTCCCCTTCCACCACCTCTAGTTCGTTTCCCAGAGTTAGGAGTCTTGATGTTCTGTCTCCCTTTCTGATATTTCCTACCCATTTCTTCTCCCTTCCCTTCTATTCCCTTTCACTATTTTTTATATTCCCCAAATGAATGAGACCATATAATGTTTGTCCTTCCCCGATTGACTTACTTCACTCAGCATAATACCCTCCAGTTCCATCCACGTTGAAGCAGATGGTGGGTATTTGTCATTTCTAATGGCTGAGTAATATTCTGTTGTATACATAAACCACATCTTCTTTATCCATTCATCTTTCAATGGACACCGAGGCTCCTTCCACAGTTTGGCTATTGTGGACATTGCTGCTAGAAACATCGGGGCACAGGTGTCCCGGCATTTCATTGATCTGCATCTTTGGGGTAAATCCCCAGCAGTGCAATTGCTGGGTCGTAGGGCAGATCTATTTTTAACTCTTTGAGGAACCTCCAGACAGTTTTCCAGAGTGGCTGCACCAGTTCACATGCCCACCAACAGTGTAAGAGGGTTCCCTTTTCTCTGCATCCTCTCCAACATTTGTGGTTTCCTGCCTTAATTTTCCCCATTCTCACTGGTGTGAGGTGGTATCTCATTGTGGTTTTGATTTGTATTTCCCTGATGGCAAGTGATGCAGAGCATTTTCTCATGTGCCTGTTGGCCATGTCTATGTCTTCCTCTGTGAGATTTCTCTTCATGTCTTTTGCCCATTTCATGATTGGATTGTTTGTTTCTTTGCTGTTGAGTTTAACAAGTTCTTTATAGATCTTGGAAACTAGCCCTTTATCTGATACGTCATTTGCAAGTATCTTCTCCCATTCTGTAGGTTGTCTTTTAGTTTTGTTGACTGTATCCTTTGCTGTGCAAAAGTTTCTTATCTTGATGA